CTCGAAAAGGATTTACTCTAATTCCTTGCAAATCGTTGAAAAAAAATTTAGCCCCTTTGATGCCAAATAAAATTGAACGAGTGCCAAAACATTGTCTACAACACTCGTACAAGATGTTTTATACAATGCTACCGCTTCCGCTTTTAATACTAGGCAATTTCCCTTTTGATCGTGCAGAATCATTCTACCTCAGAAAAACACGTGGAAAGTTTGTTCCCCTTACAGCTAGCGAAAGTAAAATATTGATGCACGAGGCTTGTCACGGACTAGGCTAAAGGTGAAGTTCACTGTTCTAGTTGACAACCATTCCAGCTGCGATTGCTGCGGAGTTTCACATAATTAAACAAGAGAGCAAAAAAATCTCTCTCGCATTCCAGATTCTAAACTTTAATTCAGATCAAATGTCAATACGAAGGATTTTATGGAGAATATCTTCTTCCTATTTCCGCTTAGCAAATTCAAACGAAAGAGGGTTTGAGCCGAAGCGGAAATCGAATGATCTTGGAGATTGGCAAGTCGTGCTCCATTACGTAGGAACATTTCTCCGTTTAGAAACTAACTTGCGTATTTTTATTTACCTCTCATGATAGCTGGACTGATAAAGATTGGAATCTTGGATATGTATCAAAATAAAAAAAACACAAAACAAAACAAAACAAATAAAACCAGAGTTTCTTTTGCATGTAACAAGCTAGTTAGACTTGATGACCTCCCGGATGATGTAACTTTGCAAAGTTTACAATATTTGAAAATTCGCCAACACTCTAATCTCACATATTTTACACTGTGGTCTGAATTTAGTTAGTTTCGATTTATTCATGATTATTGATTACGTTTTTTTTACAACACAACAGAAACTGCTCGTTAAAATGTCATTACGTGACGATGGCACAATACAACAGCAGAACACTTCTATATTGAGATGTAGGTGGCAAGTTAAGGCAAATTTTAATTACACGTAGACATAGATAATTGATGCTACAAAATTCAGGGGATCTATTAGGATAGAGGAAAATATGTTCTCAGTATCACTTACCTATCATTTATGAATGCCTCCGTCATCAAAACACGACCGTCTCGTTTTCTGAAGAAGTTGTTTTAGTCACGCGCCGTCAACGTCTCATTAAGATTACTTGACCGTCGAACAGTCGGTTCCACTTAGTACAGCGGTTTTCCTCAAAAGTATGCAACACAAACTCGAAACATTGAGTCATTTGCTCGGAAAAATCGGTTTCGCTGCGGTGTTTATTGTTTCGCTTTCAAACCTTTGGCCAACGAGACTGTGTCGCATTGCTACCGCGTCTTGTCACAAATTTTCACCATTGCACTAGAATTCCGTTCGGTTCTCTTGACAATTACCCGGTTCTCATCGTATTTCTGATCGAAGAGAGGCAATGTGAGGGTTATACTTATTGTCCTCGGACACATCACAATAACCCAGCCGGGTCTCGAACCCAGACCTCTCCATCTGGAATCGAGCGCGAAAGCGCACTTAGTACAAGGCCTTCGCGTGAGGCACCTTTAATCCATGCCGTTTTACATAGAAATGTTATAAAGAAGATTGGAGCAAAGCAAAATAGGATAAGGAGAGTTNGTATTTGTTTTCTTTTGTTTTTGTTTTGTTTTGTTTTTGTTTTGTTTTGTTTTTTTGTCGCTTATTTGTGACAGGAACAGAATCCTTTGATAATTTCGTTTACTGAATCCCTAACTTCAGGGATTTTCCAGCAATACAAGATGGGATTTAACGTGGAGTTCACATAGATCAGAGAAACTGTATACCACTGTATTGCAAGAAATGTTGGACTCATTCCACAAGCGACCCTGGCAACAAGTGACACTGAACATGAATGGCAGGTAACAGGTTAGGAGGGACGCATACACCCACAGCGCAGTGGACACGTATTCCTTGTATAGTTTTATGGCAAAGGAATTTTGCGATGCTTCTTCTTCAGGGCCGTAATTCTGAACTTGACTTTGTAGTTTTCGCAGAGTGTGGAAGATGATCATGTACGAGACGGTGGAGACACCGATACACATAACGATGCCAAGGATCTGAAACAGGCTGAAGAATGCCGGAACTGAAGAAGATCGAGAATGCACGGAAAGTACTTACGGAAGAACCAACAAGTGATTAACACGAGGCGCACGCGGAAGATGGAAGCAACTTCTTTGCGAATAACAAGTACACAATCTACACTGATGGCTGACAAAATCTGCAGGTATATAACCACAGAGATGACCCCTACGACAATAGTAATGACTCCCAGGATATCGCATGTCTCTGGTATCGATGGCCTTACCACGAGCCTTTTAAAGAACGCTGGCTGGACCACCAAACCAACGCCTAGATCAGACACAGCAAGACTGCAGTAAAGGGCTTTTGATGCGGCGTGCAGTCGAGAACTTCTTCTGAGAGATAACAGAGTCAATATATTCCCGATGATGGTCAACAACGTTAAGTTCATCGTGGCGTTAATGGCATTCGAAGTCTTCATGAAGGTTAACACTTGAATTTGTTTTGCATCACACCAGCTCTGAAACATTGGTAATGCTGTGCTGGGAAACTGATTCGTAATGGAGACAGTAGAGGTTTCCATCAATGCTTCGGCGGTTTTCTGACGCTATTTGATTTCCGGCAGTTTTGCAACAAGGTGGCTTTCCACGTCTTTACTCCACTAAAGATAGCTTGTTGTACAATTAAGGTTCACTTTTTCTTCCTATAAAACCAAATGATCGTAATTACTGTGGAAGGTGGCTTTTTTCTGTTTTTCCAAAGAGGTGCTATGTGTTTTTTGCATTTATCTTCACAGCACCTTTGGTTTTTGAATTCTCCACTTACTGGGGATTGTCTCTTTCTTTTAATAACTCCTTTTTAGCATAAGGTGCCAAAAGTGGTCGAAAGCGTTCAACAAATTGCGAATTTTTCTCTGCTATTTCCATAGCTGTGATCGCAACATCTACCAATAAAGGAGGGACACTTTGAAAAGAACTTAGTTGGATATTCGGTGAAGAGATTTGATTTCTGAACGATCCTCAATATATGAATGATTTTGCAACAATTGTTCAAATTCATCGCTTAAGTTCCATTTTGTACCACTGATGGTTTTTTTTTTTTCGTTTTCAAGGACTAAACTGATTAATGAGGACAAAAGCGAGTGAATTAATTATCACCTACCAGCAAATGAAAGCCAGCGTTACTCCCCGACCAGACGTTTCACCTGCTTGTTTCCTGAATAGTTTTCATCCTGTTTCAGAATGTATATAAATTACGTTGAAAATCTACGCAAACTTTGCCGTAGTTTGACGCAAGGTAACTTTTCCAAGTTACCCGGTTTTTTATCTTTGGTTACTGCCTAAGTGTTAGAAAAAGAGGAAAAACTCGAACGACAACAAACCCTGTTTCCCCAACTTTTATTACTGCAGTTACGAATTCATAGTACATTTGAAAAAGAACGCAACGTTGAGGAATGATGTTTACTGAGACAAGCTGTTTTAAATTTCTAATCATTTTCTCCTAACTGGTGCACCGCCCTCAGTTTCTTCAATTAAAGACTTCAGATTCATGTGGGAGAGACTTGAGATTTGAGTGACACCGTGAGTATTTGCTCCTTATCTCTGTAAAAGTGTTTCTAAACAGGATCCAACACGGATAGGACTTAAACAGCAGTCAGTATAAAGAGAAAATGCCCTCTTGTCTGTACACATCGAAGTAAAAAAAAAAAAAAATCAAACTTCCAGAATAAGATTGACTCGTAGGTATATATTGTGCTTCATAAAATAAAAGACTCTGGCTCCGCTTGCAAATCTGTGGAAGGAGCTTACATCCGTGGGGGGAGGAGTAGGGATGTGAGGGACCAATTACAGGTAACTGACAAATTATGACCGGGATTTTCCTTCTAGTATTTGTATATACTCTTATTTACAGTCTAAGGTCTCTTAGAATCTCATCAGCCAACATAAAATCATGACTTATAGGTACATCCAGTTAACAGAAAATTAAAAATGAACGGAAGCAAAGAAAAAGTTGAAAAAACTTGCCTGTTGTTACTGTTTATTTCTTTCCTAGAGAGTTTTAAGCTGACTAAATTATTCGACTGCACCTAGATGTAACGGACTCTACAATGAAATTACTTGATTTGTGTCTGGAAAATTGAAAATTTTCCCTCCTTTATTAGATGACGTTGGCTGAGGTGCACGTGAAGTGATCAGTGATCTTAATGGATCGTTTGGGTCCCGATATTTTTTCAGTGTTGTGAATGAAAGGTTTTTGTCGTCGCCATGCTCCCAACAATAGCGTAGCTTCACTTTCTGCGTATAAACCCACACCCAACCCACAATTCCTCCATTCGCTCTGACGAAGGGCTAACGCTCGAAATGTCAGCTTTTTAACTCTTTATAGTGGCTAATTTGCAATTTCAACTTCGTTGATATTACCAAATTGTCTTGTTACCCCCACCGACGCAGCACCACAGTTTCTTTAGAAACTACCCCCTTTAAGGGAAAAGGCCCTGGGAACGAGGTTGAGTTTACTACTAAATCACTGGAAATAAGTAATCTTGCAATAAGATCGTGCATACGCAAAAGGTATGTGAGAAGAAGTTCTTGTTATTTTGTTGCTTGCGTGCGTTTGAACAAATGTTTCGTTAAGAGCTGTGTTTGTCTTAACTGATAACAAAAGAGGTTATTTACCTGTGTTAAACTTTCTGTCGAGCCGTCGGAAAAAAAGTTCGGTTTACATTATAGGATCTTATAGCTACGCTAACGGTCAAACGGTCAAACGGTCAAACGATCAAACGGTCAAACGGTCAAGCCTTTCATTCACTCAAAGAAAAACATCACCCAGGACTCCATTCATCTTAAAGAGGGTGATAGTCTTGTTGTTAACAAACTGGAAGTAGCACAAATTTTCAGCGCGCACTTTTCATCCTTCTTGAAGGACAATAATAGAGATGGGCATTGCAATGATAATTCCGGTTTTACTATTCATCCAAGCATCTCGGCCATACAGACCCACTGTGTTGCGGGAGAAGCTTTCCAGTTTCGTTTGTAAGTCCACCTGAAGTCAAACTTATACTTAAGTCACTAGATCCAAAAAAAGCAACTGGTTATGATAAGATACCGCCAAGAACATTGCGGGATGGTGCTGATACTCTTGCTTGTCCGATATCTGTTCTTATTAACAAGATCATTGGCTCTGGCTCTGCGCCAGCTGATTGGAAGCTGGCCGAAATCTTCCCCATCTTCAAAAAGGATGATCCTTATGACAAATCTAACTATCGACCAGTGTCGATTCTGGTTACTCTGGATAAAGTTTTTGAGAAGTGCCTTGCACGTCAACCCTCTGATTATTTTAGACCAATCTTGTCACCGTTCCTGTCTGCGGAAAGACGGGGTTACAGCTGTGAGGCGGTACTTCAACGTTTGATCGAGGATTGGAGGAATACACTTGACAATAAGTGTGTTGTTAGCGCAGTTTTTCTGGATCTGAGTAAAGCCTTTGATATGATACCGCATGACCTCCTCCTCGCCAAGCTGGCTGCCTAAGGTGTTTCTCCAGTCAACCTGCCCCTCAGCTACGCAGTTACCTTAGAGAGAGGTTCCATCGTGTCAGGATAGAAGATGTAACCTCTGATGTTGTTGTTTTTTTCTAAGGGTGTACCCCAGGGATCGGTGTTAGGGCCTCTCTTTTTTAATATTTATCTTGATGATCTGTTCTATTTTATCAATCGCGCCGAATTTGTCTAATTATGCTGAGGATAACCAAATTTATTTTAGTGATCGCGATCCTGAGGTGGTAAAGTCCGTAATTAATGGCGATCTCGCTGTTGCGAGTCGTTTGGTTTGACGACAAAAAGCTAGTGCTCAACCCCGAGAAATGTAAGAGACGGNTGTATAGCTACTTATATTTTAAAATGTCACATGTATTTTAAAATGTCACATGTGTGTGTGTGTCTGTGTGTGTGTGTGTGTGTGTGTGTGTGTGTGTGTGTGTGTGTGTGTATGTGTGAGAGCCTATACAGTGTCTGTTTAGGTAGCCCGCCTAGAATAGCTCTGCTAACTGCGGGCTACAAAAGCCTTTTTTTCTTTCATTTTAAAAAATAAAATCAATGTTGTTGTTGTTGTTGTTTTGTTTTTTTGTTTGTTTTTTTTTTACTCTTTATAATTTCTCTGACATATTTTTCTTTAATCCGTTAAACCATAACTGATGGGAGCATCAGTTGGTTTGTCTTGACAGTTGAGCCTTTTTCGTATTGTTAGATTATACTTTCAGAATAAAGATATTTATCACACCAATGGTGTACTAAATAGACATCAGTTTAAGCTCAAAGTCTTAAAATTTTCGAAACTTATGCCTCATTCACGCCAAAGCTAAAACAAATTTTAAAGCTGTTTTGTAAAACACGGTTTTTATCTGTTTTCCTCACAGAAGATGTTTAGTTGAAGTGAACCCCGTTGCTGATTTTCATTCAGTTAACCAAACATGTTTTGCCGATGTGAATGACGTATTAGTTCTTCATTTGACGTGTGGTACCAGAGCTCCTCTGGTGTGGTACTAAACTTTACT